TGGTTTGGCAAGAGAGATATTCTTCACGACGCCGGTGAGGACTGTTCAGGGGCTGTAGGCAAGGGGGTAGGGGGGGTGAGGTTTGATGGCCGCTTCAGATAACACGAGCCACGGACATTAGCTCGCTGTGGTCAGGAATCGAACCTTCGCGATCCGGGTTCATAGCGCAGTGCGCTTACCACTGAACCACCGCTCCAAACGATATGCGTGTCTCTACGGGATTATATGCTGTGATGTGTGTCTACGGGATTATATACTGTGATGTGTGTATATGGGATTATATACTGTGTTGTGTGTATGGGATTATATACTGTGATGTGTATATGGGATTATATACTGTGATGTGTGTATATGGGATTATATACTGTGATGTGTGTGTGTATATGGGATTATATACTGTGTTGTGTGTATATGGGATTATATACTGTGTTGTGTGTATATGGGATTATATACTGTGTTGTGTGTATATGGGATTATATACTGTGATGTGTGTATATGGGATTATAAACTGTGATGTGTGTATATGGGATTATATACTGTGATATGTGTATGGGATTATATACTGTGATGTGTGTATATGGGATTATATACTGTGATGTGTGTATATGGGATTATATACTGTGTTGTGTGTATATGGGATTATAAACTGTGATGTGTGTATATGGGATTATATACTGTGATATGTGTATGGGATTATATACTGTGATGTGTGTATATGGGATTATATACTGTGATGTGTGTATATGGGATTATATACTGTGATGTGTATATGGGATTATATATTGTGATGTGTGTATATGGGATTATATACTGTGATGTGTGTATATGGGATTATATATTGTGATGTGTGTATATGGGATTATATACTGTGATGTGTATATGGGATTATATACTGTGATGTGTGTATATGGGATTATATATTGTGATGTATATATGGGATTATATACTGTGAAGTGTATATGGGATTATATATTGTGATGTGTATATGGGATTATATACTGTGAAGTGTATATGGGATTATATACTGTGTTGTGTGTATATGGGATTATATACTGTGTTGTGTGTATATGGGATTATATATTGTGATGTGTGTATATGGGATTATATATTGTGTTGTGTGTATATGGGATTATATACTGTGATGTGTGTATATGGGATTATATACTGTGATGTGTGTATATGGGATTATATACTGTGATGTGTGTATATGGGATTATATACTGTGATGTGTGTGTATGGGATTATATACTGTGATGTGTGTATATGGGATTATATATTGTGTTGTGTGTATATGGAATTATATACTGTGATGTGTGTATATGGGATTATATACTGTGATGTGTATATGGGGTTATATACTGTGATGTGTGTGTGTGGGATTATATACTGTGCTGTGTGTATATGGGATTATATATTGTGATGTGTATATATGGGATTATATACTGTGATGTGTGTATATGGGATTATATACTGTGATGTGTGTGTATGGGATTATATACTGTGTTGTGTGTATATGGGATTATATATTGTGATGTGTATATGGGATTATATACTGTGAAGTGTATATGGGATTATATATTGTGATGTGTATATGGGATTATATACTGTGAAGTGTAAATGGGATTATATACTGTGATGTGTGTATATGGGATTATATATTGTGATGTGTGTATATGGGATTATATACTGTGATGTGTGTATATGGGATTATATATTGTGATGTGTGTATATGGGATTATATACTGTGATGTGTATATGGGATTATATACAGTGTTGTGTGTATATGGGATTTTATACTGTGTTGTGTGTATATGGGATTATATACTGTGATGTGTGTATATGGAATTATATACTGTGATGTGTATATGGGATTATATACTGTGATGTGTGTGTGTGGGATTATATACTGTGCTGTGTGTATATGGGATTATATATTGTGATGTGTATATATGGGATTATATACTGTGATGTGTGTATATGGGATTATATACTGTGATGTGTGTGTATGGGATTATATACTGTGTTGTGTGTATATGGGATTATATATTGTGATGTGTATATATGGGATTATATACTGTGATGTGTGTATATGGGATTATATACTGTGATGTGTGTATATGGGATTATATACTGTGTTGTGTGTATATGGGATTATATACTGTGATGTGTGTATATGGGATTATATATTGTGATGTGTGTATATGGGATTATATACTGTGATGTGTGTATATGGGATTATATATTGTGATGTGTGGTGATGTGTGTATATGGGATTATATACTGTGATGTGTATATGGGATTATATACTGTGATGTGTGTATATGGGATTATATATTGTGATGTGTGTATGGGATTATATACTGTGATGTGTGTATATGGGATTATATATTGTGATGTGTGTATATGGGATTATATACTGTGATGTGTATATGGGATTATATACTGTGATGTGTGTATATGGGATTATATATTGTGATGTGTGTATATGGGATTATATACTGTGATGTGTGTATATGGGATTATATACAGTGTTGTGTGTATATGGGATTTTATACTGTGTTGTGTGTATATGGGATTATATACTGTGATGTGTGTATATGGGATTATATACTGTGATGTGTATATGGGATTATATATTGTGATGTGTGTATATGGGATTATATATTGTGATGTGTGTATATGGGATTATATACAGTGTTGTGTGTATATGGGATTTTATACTGTGTTGTGTGTATATGGGATTATATACTGTGATGTGTGTATATGGGATTATATACTGTGATGTGTGTATATGGGATTATATACTGTGATGTGTATATGGGATTATATACTGTGATGTGTATATGGGATTATATATTGTGATGTGTGTATGGGATTATATACTGTGATGTGTGTATATGGGATTATATACTGTGATGTGTATATGGGATTATATATTGTGATGTGTGTATATGGGATTATATACTGTGATGTGTATATGGGATTATATATTGTGATGTGTGTATGGGATTATATACTGTGATGTGTGTATATGGGATTATATACTGTGATGTGTATATGGGATTATATATTGTGATGTGTGTATATGGGATTATATACTGTGATGTGTATATGGGATTATATATTGTGATGTGTGTATGGGATTATATATTGTGATGTGTGTATATGGGATTATATACTGTGATGTGTATATGGGATTATATACTGTGATGTGTGTATATGGGATTATATACTGTGATGTGTGTATATGGGATTGTGCATTGTAGTGCGTGTGTGTGTACTATGTGTGTGTGTGTGGGATTCTATACTGTCTGTGTGTGTGTGTGGGATTCTATACTGTGTGTGTGTGTGTGGGATTCTATACTGTCTGTGTGTGTGGGATTCTATACTGTCTGTCTGTGTGTGTGGGATTCTATACTGTCTGTGTGTGTGTGTGGGATTCTATACTGTGTGTGTGTGTGTGATTCTATACTGTCTGTGTGTGGGATTCTATACTGTCTGTGTGTGTGGGATTCTATACTGTCTGTCTGTGTGTGTGGGATTCTATACTGTCTGTGTGTGTGTGTGGGATTCTATACTGTGTGTGTGTGTGGGATTCTATACTGTCTGTGTGTGTGTGTGTGGGATTCTATACTGTGTGTGTGTGGGATTCTATACTGTCTGTGTGTGTGTGGGATTCTATACTGTCTGTGTGTGTGTGTGTGTCGGATTCTATACTGTCTCTGTGTGTGGGATTATATACTGTCTCTGTGTGTGTGTGGGATTCTATACTGTGTGTGTGTGGGATTCTATACTGTCTGTGTGTGTGGGATTCTATACTGTCTGTGTGTGTGGGATTCTATACTGTGTGTGTGTGGGATTCTATACTGTGTGTGTGTGTGGGATTCTATACTGTCTGTGTGTGTGGGATTCTATACTGTGTGTGTGTGTGTGGGATTCTATACTGTCTGTGTGTGTGTGGGATTCTATACTGTCTGTGTGTGTGTGTGGGATTCTATACTGTCTGTGTGTGTGTGGGATTCTATACTGTCTGTGTGTGTGTGTGGGATTCTATACTGTCTGTGTGTGTGATTCTATACTGTCTGTGTGTGTGTGGGATTCTATACTGTCTGTGTGTGTGTGGGATTCTATACTGTCTGTGTGCGGGATTGTATACTGTCTGTGTGTGTGGGATTCTATACTGTCTGTGTGTGTGGGATTCTATACTGTTTGTGTGTGTGTGGGATTCTATA